TTCTAGGCTCTAGTTTGGCCTATCTAAAGCCATCTGATGATGAACTAACAAAATTTCAAAGCACAGGTGTCCCTAAGCTATGAGACTGAATGGCCACAGGAAGGACACCAGGAGTTTTAGCTGAATCTTCTGTTTTTACACTACCTAGTAAATACTGTATACCAGACATTGAGTTTTACATATTCAGGGGTTTGTAAATATATAGTCCAAAGAACTAGTCCTTACTATAGTAGTAACAAGATTAACAGCAGTATAAGATTTTAAGGACACTGGGGAAACCTGGATGAAGGAGTTGTTCACCTTTGACTGAGGGGAAGAAGGGGATGAGCAAAACTTCTGGGTGGCATTTACTGTGGTTTGAAGTGGTAGAGGTTTGTTCTCCAACTCCTGGTACTACTGAGAAGTGGTAGAACATTTGTGAGGTGGTCATTGAGTCAGCCAGGGCATGCCTTTGTAAAAGACTGGGGGACCCCAACTCCAGCTCTTTCTCTTTGCTTCCTGACTCACGAGGTGAACATTTTTGTTCTGACACATGCTTCAGTCATGATGTGCAGGTAGCACCACTGGTTCAGAACAATGAAGCCATTCAAGACTGTGAGCTAAAATAATTCCCTTTCTCTTTATAAGTTGATTATTTCAGTATTTATTACAATAACAGAAAGGTGACTAATACAGCATTCCACCTGATTCTTGACCAAGGAATACCCATTTGTTAGAGGGATAGGATTAGGTGAAGGGGGATGGGAGCACACCAGGAGGAACAAACATACAACTAACTGTACAAAGGGTGGAAAAATAATTCATTGTTGTTTTGTAATTGACAAGTATTTGGCAAGATGAAGGCTCAGGCTATAAAAGAAGTTGGTGATGAGAAAGAAAGCTTTGTTAACTGCCTTGGACCAAATTGTGTCCCCTCAAATTTCAATGTTAAGTATGACTGCATTTGGAGAAAGGGCCTTTCAGACGCAATAAAGATTAAATTAAGGGGGCTGGAGAGATGACTCAGTGGTTAAGAACACTGGCTGTTCTAGCAGAAGACCCAATTTCAAATCCCAGCACCCACATGGCAGCTAACAACTGTTGGTAACTCCAGTTCCAGGGAATCCAACACCCTCTTCTGTCCTCCACCGGCACTGTATAACAAAGATGCACTTAAACACAGGCAAGGCATAACACTCAAACACATAAAATAAAATAAATAAATAAAAACTTTTAAAAACTTAAATTAGGTCATAACGTCCAGATCTAAAACAAGTAGGATTGGTGGCTTTATGAAGAAAGAGCAATAGCCCACACCCAAATAAAAGCCAGTGAGTACACAGTAAGAAAGTGCTTGTCTCCAGTATGGGACAAACTCTTTTACCAGAACCTGACCATGCTGGTACCTTGGTTTGGGACTTATAGCTTCCTGGAACTGTAAGGAAAAATCATTCTGTCGTTTAAAGCATCAGTCTGCAGGATCTTGTTGTTGCTCCCTGAGAAGACTAAGACAGCTACCTTCTACATTTTTTAAGCATAAGGAATATATTACTGAACCGAATTTCAAACAGACCTATGTGTTGAACAGCAAATTAAACGGGGGAGGAGGATTTGTTAGTCTGGAGACTGAAGTAAGGAGAGGATGCATGAGAGCAGGTGCACATGATAGAAATCGAGCTTCCTTCCAGTTGAGGTGTTTAGAACATTGGATTAAGTGGCTTATTGCTAACATGTTAACAGAAATGTAATGTATGTTTAAAGTTTTGTACATACATAACTCATGCAACTTTGCAAGTTAAAACTTTATATAGAGAGATATACAATTTTATTATATGAAAATAGGAAGTAAGGAAAATGTTGGACATATTAAACAGAAAAGAAAAGGAAATTTCCTGTCAAGGAAGAACGCTCACAGGGATTTCATGTGAAATACAGCTGTTCCTGCAACGACACAAAAATGGACTCATTTATAACCTAGGCTTGGTGTGTGTGTATGTGTGTGTGTGTGTGTGTACATGGCAGTGGGTGGGAGAAGAGATGTGAAAATAATAGAGCAAAAAATAAAGGCAGTATAATTTCTCTTACTTTAAATACCACAAAAGAGTCATATAACTGGAATTTCATTTTGTCTTACAATATTTTCTACATAATTAGCCTATTTGTATACACAAAAAGAGCACAAGGCATATTCCAAAATGACACTAAACCTGTTCCAATCTCTGAGGGAGTCTGCAGCTTTCCCTCACTGCTGGCCCTGGAGCTTGGTTTCAGGTACTGGGTGTACACTGGGCCAGCCATGAGACAAAGCAGAGGGGCACATCCACCCCCTTTCCTAACATTTCCCCTTGTCTTGTCTTCCCTGTAACATGTACACTCTTTGGGCCTTTTCTGAGAGAGATAATGCCTCTCTCGTGCAAATTGAATACCCAATGCCCTGCATGCATGAGTGTGTCAAGGCTAAACAGGTCTATTGTTCTTAAACAGCAGTGCCAGAGAATCATATTCTTGTACAGAGTGATACTGAAGAGATAAAAATATCTTTCATTTCTATAGTGCCATGCATCTTAAAGTGTGTTCCACATTTCACAAACTATATATAGGCTCAATTCATTATCCATCCCCATAAAATACAGCCAGAGTGTGGCAGGCACATGCCAGATGTTTGACAATAGTCTAATAACAGAAGAAGTTAAATTGGATTTAGAAAACAGGAAGCAGGATGTGGGGCACTAGGTAAAGCTTTGCCATTCATTCAACAGTGTGTATTGGGTGTGTTTACCTACCAGACTAACAGCTGGGGCACAGGTTACATTCTTCTTACCCTCAGGGAGCAGCCAGGGTATGAGAGAAAGCATTTTTTTTTTCAGTAAAATGTGATTAATATTAAGATGCTGACATCATCATCCCCTTGTGTTAATAAAAGGTTTGCATTCAATGTAATGATAGGATTTATGTTGAAGAAAATTTATTCTGGAACCCAGAACCGAGATTGAATGTGAGCATGACGTTAAGGAGAGAGAGAATAAGGGGAGAACTGAAATAAATATACAAGCAACTTGGGGACCCAGTCTGAACAGAATGAACATGAAGTAATTTGGCGGGGAAGTTGAAACCCATGAGATCAGAGGAGTCCCTGCAGATCTCACTGTTGCTGCTTGTTTCCTTGAGGTATGGGTGGACACCTCAAAATAATCCACCCTAACATACATGACATTAGAGACAGCATTCCAAATCTCTCCATGCTTAAAGCCGAGGCCTCTCATAAACAGAAGGATTTTAGATTGGAGGAGGATCTCAAAGATCCGCTGGCTCAGACCAGTCATTTTTAGATGAAGAAAGACACACAAATGATTGTTGAATACGTATAATAGTTAGCATTGGCCAGGTGAGAGGCAGTTCCAGAGGTTAACCATGACCAGCTCAGTGGGACCTGGTCTTGGATGAATCAGGAAGATGGAGACATCCTGTTCTTTGGGAGATGATCTAAAAAGCTAAACACCTGGTTCCTCAGGCCCTTTCACTGCAACAGAGAGACCAACCATGGCGAGCAGGGGTTAAGGTCTTATAATCCACCTATACTGATGTAAGCAAGAAATGTGGCTCAAAGAAATGAAAAGAAAATAGGCTGGAAGATTGTCCCTGCCCAGGTCAGGTGGCTGCCACCCAGAGAGGACCTCTGCAAACCATTTGGTCTCTGGAAGTGTATGTAGCTTCCAGCCCTTATTAACTTCCTTAAGCCTGGAGAGTCAGCTTACTCTGAACTCCCAGGAGGGTACCATTCAAACTGTGTTGAATCTCTGGGCAAGAAGGTTTTAACCAGTACAGGCAGGATGTAGAAAAAAAGAGAGAAAATGTGGTTAATAATGCATCTGTACAACAATTATCACAAAGATGTCTTAAGTAGGGAATTCTGGGCTGATGAAGACTGCATATCTCACCAAAGGGCCATTCTCTCTCCTTATGGGCCCATGAGTACAGCAAGGGTTTGGGGGTGAGGACAGCAGAGACTCTGGTCTAGAAGTTGGGGCCCTATCATCTCAGCCCCACAGCTTCTTGCAAGGCCTCAGGCAAGTTAGCCGAAAAGGCCCCATGTAGAAAGGAAGGAGCAATGTCTGTCTTACTAAAAAGTTAATACACATTTATGGTTTTTCACGAGTATGTCCCCAAGTAGAGGACAAACTTTTCCACACATCTTTAAGAATCCAAAAACAGTTCTTTGCACAAAATCCATGGAATAATGAATGTTATGGATAGTGGCCTGATAGACACAAAGGTCACTGAAAAGTAGACTGGGACCGTGATGAGTCTGAGTCTGGAACGGTCTGTCAGAAGGGCAGCCTGGTCAGGGCACAGAACAACAGTACCCCTTATTCCTGCCCAGAAACCCACAAGTTTCGCTCTATTCTTTGCCCCAGATTTCAGAAAACCCCAGGGGACTGATGCCAGAGAGCAGGGCATGGAAGCGGTCCGGTGGAGCTTGGCCTTGGCCAGCAAGCAGCAAAACCGGGACCTAGTTCCCATTCTGTGCGCTCTGAGATCGCCTCCAGTTCGCCACGCGAGAAAGTGGATGGAGATGGGGGCTTAAAGAATAGAGCCCAGACTTCCCCTCAGCTCCACTCCCCCACCCCCCAGCCTGTTAAGTCCCCCTCCCAGGCTACAAGCCTGGAAAAGAAAGGCTGGAGAGGGTGCCACCTGCTGGTGAGGAACCCAATCTTGCATGGTAGGACCGGAGACCTGGATTCTGCACGAAGCTGAATTTGGGCTGTTTCCCAAGTTGCTGGTTTTCTGCTCTCTTTTAAGGGCTGCCAGCTCCGTGGGCTGTGCTCAGAGACCCTGCCCTCCGCATGTTACCCCCTAGACGCAGGCGCTCCCTCCCCTGACCGCGCACTCAAGGTCTTAGGACTCTCCACACTTCTCCATCAGGTGGAGCCGTCTTCTCGCCACCTGCCTCCCTCCTCCCTCCTCCCTCCTCGCAGGCCAATTTCAAGCAGGCCACCTTGCAGCGCTGGGAGGTTAACCGAGCCCTGGGAGGTGAGGCCACGGAGATGGCGAGGCCGCCGTCGCCGTCGGGGCTGGCGCCAGAGCCGGGCCGCCAGTGGGTCCTGCAGGTACCGCTCGCGTTCTCTCTGTCCCACGTGGTGGCCGCGGAAGATTGCCGTTGGTTTTCCGGCACTCAGGGTTGAAACGCCTCCGGATCCTTTTAGAGGCAGGCAGCTCATTACTTAATCCAAGCTTTTTCCCTTTCTGCCAGAGACCGGAGACTGCGGGAAGGAGTGAACGGGTAGTGGGGCGTGGGAGGCGGGGAACAAGTCCAGTGGCTCGGAGCGAGGAGCTCCGGAACCAGTTTGAAGGTCAAGAGGCCAGACTTGGGTACCAAAGCAAGAAAGAAGCTAGGTCCTTCCAACCTGGGACTCCCACTCCCTCTGCTTCTTCTCAAGAGTGAGTGTGAGAGTGTGGTATGCATGCACCTCTGCGTGTCTGATGACCGACCGTGTATTGCACACTTCACTGGCCTCATGGCTCTGCTTTTTTTTAATATTTCTCCAGAGGGGCTGAAATTAAGCAAACCTGGGCCTCAGGCCATGTAGTAGCTTGCAATGAAAATTAACCAACAACTGAAAGAATAAATCTTTAGTTAAAATATCAAATGCTGCCTGGGTAGGTACAGTCCATCAACATCTTAACAGATTCGTTCTTTGTATGGTTGGGCCTTTGAAGTGGGACCCAGACCTTTCATCTCCCCTGGCCCTGAAGATTTAGTGGAAAACTGCTAACGGTACAGCACTCCACACACCAAATTCCCAGCCTTCCTATATTATATGACACATGCTGTTTGAAATAATTACTCGTCTTTTGTGTGATTCTGATTTGACTCTTGTGTTTTATTGTGTTATCTGTTACACAAGCTAATGGACTAAGGTCCTGCTGACAAGGTGTTTATTCTGTGCCTTGTTTGTTCATTTAGCTGATGGGATTGCCTCTTACTTTCTGTAGCTCAGTATCCTCCCCTCCACCACACACAAACACATCAGCTTGCTTACAAATCTCCCTTTGATCTGTTTAGCAGCCTAGAAGGGATGCTGTTAAATAAACTATTAAGTTAAGAATAGAAAAGTCAACAAAGCAGACGCCTACTAATTTGTAGATCTTGGATGTCAACTACCAGGTGTCAGCTCCTGCCAGCGCACACTTCTGCCTCTGTCCCAGCTTCCTTCTTTCTTATCCATAAAGTCTAAGATCTGTATTTTTTAAGTTACTATCCACATAGAAACTCAGAGTTGGAATATGCCTCACAGTCAGCAAAGGTTCTCCCCCTACCCCGGTCTGTGATACTAACGGAGAAAAGGCTAAGTTTCCTCAAAGGACTCCCTGAGCTCCAAGGACTACAGAAAGTAATGATTGACTTTATAATTGAATGTTGACTGACACACGTTGGGAGAGCATCTTTCATTTACTTCCCTCCACCCACTTTGGATAACACTGCATTTTTTATATGTTGCTTTGTAAGACCTTTATAGATTGTGCCTTGTGTGTGTGCTCTGCTTCCACTTTAGATTATGAGCTCCTGACAGCATGGTCTATTTCACCCCCTCCCCCATGGCCTGCTTATTCTAGGCATGCCTAAATGTCTATCAAATAAACAGACCTAGATAAATTCATGTTGATATCCTGAAGGAAATGGAGTTTGATTTGAGTGTGGATTTCATGACAGGTAAAAGACCCGCAGATTCTTAGGAAGAGGTTGCCTATGACCTTGGCCTCTCCTTCGCAATCAGACTCACAGCACCTATTGGAGAAAAGACACACTTAGAGTGATGGAGTGCTCATTAGAGGACAAGCTCTCAATGCAAAGACAGACTGCTCCCCTGTCCTTGTTAGGAAATGCACAGACCAGGATAATAATAAAAAATGGGTTTGTGTCACAAGCCTGCCTACATTCCCTCTCGCTCCTGCTCCTGCATTTTGTTTTCTAGGAGCTGTGCAAACTAAGATCCAGAGGCTTAGGGCTTAACCCAACTCCCTCCCGGCGGGACACATCTCCCAAATGGAAAGCATGCTTATCTCTTCAACTCCCTAGCCTCCCTGTGCACACAACACATTGGCCAAGTCTTTCCTGGAGAAAGATGCACCCCAGCTCGCCTTTGCCGCTCTCTACTCCCTTTCAGTTGCCGGTCTCTTGAGCAAAAGCAGGGCACGCACATTTTAATGCATGTGCATGAGTCTAATCATCGGTAACTTCACTCCCGTTTAACAACATTACATCGTGTGAACAAAAAGTCACAGCTCTGCTCCGTGCTCACGATGCTTCCTGGTCAATAACGGTGACAAAAGCTGAATATTCCCCTGCTTAAGGGAAAGAAGCAAAGCACAGCCTTTCCACCACCCTCTGTTTTGCAAAGCTTTCCTTTAACCAAGTGTTTCCTCTTTAATTACGACCTGTTTCCCCTCCCTCTCCCTCCCCCCGCCCCAGCTTCTGTGAAAGGAGCCCTTCTGTCACTCGTCACTCGCTGGCTTGCTCGCTCGCTGGAGGTGGGAGGAGCCCGCCGGAGGAAGCCGTGTGCCTGGGATGCCAAGAGCCGGAGAATGGATCTGCTCCGAGCGGGGACATTGCTGAGGATCCCGGCTTCCCGAGGTGGCTGAAAACCAGCATTGGGTTTCCGCCCGCTGCAGATACCCGGAGGCACAAGCAGCTGGGAGGAGGGACGGACAGACAGACAAACAGATGGTCGGCGCGAACCCTGGAGGACTAGCGGTGGAGGCTGAGCACCGCGAGCAGAGCCGCGGAGCTTGAAGAGAAACTAACTGCACGCCCAAGTTGCCCCGCCGGCTCCCCGCGCGCTGAGGAATGAGACCTTTCCAGCTCGATTTGCTCTTCCTCTGCTTCTTCCTCTTCAGTCAAGGTAGGAGCCGGACGCACCGGAGTTGGAGCAAAGTCGCTGGCGATTGCGGGCGCGGGAGGCTGAGGGCTGGTGGGCAGGCTGGGAAACTCAGACTGACTGATGCATCTCTGTGCCTGCATAGCTTCTTTGCATTTGCAAATGCAACAAAATGGTACTGTTGCTTCCCCTTCGGAAGGAAGGGGCTGGGAGGACAGGGGAGAAGGCACTTTCTCCTGTAGTCCACGTCCAACTCAAACTCTCGAATGCAAATGAGTTCTTTATGCATTCGGTATGTTAATTAGGCAGTATCCCTGTGTACTGGCCGGCTGGAAGTTCTGGGCTCCTGTTCACCTTCACAGCCAGGTTGGAGAAGGGGAGCTTTGCTTTAGGTGGAGGTCTCAGCTCCAATGAGGTCTAATTTGCCTGAATGTGTTCAAAGCGAATGTGTACGGTTTGCACAGTTGCAGAAAGGGCTGCGATTATAGAACGTACTGTGGGGGTATTTGCAGAAAGAACGCTTGTAAAGAGTTTTATTGAATGACATATCCAGTTCCTCGAGTAAGGTTGAATTCTGAATCCTGACCTGCACTGGAGTTACAGTGTAAAATGGCATTTCACCTCCGGTGTTGATTTTTTTCCTTTCTGCGGACTAGCAGGTGGACTCTCAGGGAGGAACTTTGCTACTTCTGAACTACCAGCCACAGGGAGCCATTGGGGCTGGCCATCCTTTGTGGACGGTGGGCAGGGGAATTCTGAAAGCGGCCTAGGAGTGCCTGCTTAGCTAAAGGCATCAAAAGTCACCTGTAGAACTGAGTTTGAAGGGGCCAAGTAAATCAGTTCTGCCCCACTCTTTTGGAATGCCAATGACGCCTCTGCCATCCGAAGCAGCATTTGTGCCAAACAGTACAGCTCTTAGAGGGACAGGACTCTCTCAGAAAAATCCACAACAGAGCGCATCCATCTGTTGATTAAATGAAGGGTAAAAGTTTTTGAGACAGCAGAGCATCACCATGGGTGGTTGCCTGTGCAATCAAACAGCATGCATTACTCCCTTCTCTTGTCAGAAGAAACCAAATGTAAGCAAACCAAGTTTCCTTCCTGCTTGATGCCTTCCCCTGGTCCTTGTGGTTACTGTAGATCTCTCCCTTACCCATGCAGTTCAAACTTTGCAGTTGATCCTTCTGATTAAACTTGAGGTGACTGTCCTCCACAAAAGTATGTGTATGACTATGTCTATGCAGACTTATACTAGGTACACACACAGACCGTACACACACACACACACACACTCATGTATTCACGTGATTGTGTGCATTTTACCAGGGCTCCCTATAGCAACAGGAAAATAAATTGCCTTCCCCTGAGTTTTGAGGCTGAATAAATAAGAACTATCCCAGAGCACTGGTATAGAGCAGGTTCAGTCCTATTACCACTTGGTAAGATGGTCTCTTTCTTGGATGCATGCATGCTTACATAGGGACACTCCACCCATACATACATAGCATACACACTGGCTCCCATTCTTTGCCTTTTAGCTAATTCATTTGGAAAGTTTCCTGAGGGGAGGAGGGGAACACACACACACACACACACACACACACACACACACACACATACACAGGACTCATGCAAGTTTTAGTCAGTCTTTTGTATTTTTAGAAGCTTGATCTGCACTTCCCTGGATTGGCAGGAGAAGGTCAAAGGTGT